GGAGGGGGGAGGAGGAGGAGGGGGAGGAGGAGGAGGAGGAGAAGGAGAAAGAGAAGGAAAAGGAGGAGAAAGAGGAGAAATGGTTAGCAGGAAAACAGTAACAAAACAACACCAGGGCACCCACCTCCCACCCGCCCATTAAAGCTGATTTGAAGTTTGAGTGAAAAGAAACAGATCGACATAAAGAATAAATGCTTGAGGTTGGACCGTCCATAATATAACAAGGAGAGGATGGAGATGGATTGGGCATGTTCTGAGAAGAGAACCAGACTCTATTGTAAAGACTGCCCTCCACTGGACACCCGAAGGACATCGCAAGAGGGGCAGACCCAAAGTGACCTGGAGACGCACAGTAGAGTCTAAAATGAAGTCATGGAACCATTCGTGGGGGACGTTGACCAAGATGGCCCAAAACAGACAGACCTGTCACGTGGAGATCCTTAGTTGCTGCCCTAAACGCCAGATGGCGTAACGGGTAGTAAGTAAGTAAGTAAGCTTGAGGTTCGGTGAGAAGAAGGAGGCCGACATATTAAATATAATTTGCTTTGGTTTCTCTCACACACGACAACGTACACTTAGACTTGGGTATAGGGCAAGATAGAGATAAGACAGAGAATAAGGAAAGGCTGATGAAGAATAGAGAGAAAATGGACAGGACTGAGGCAGGATAGACAGAGAAAAGGAAAGGACTGAGGCAAGATAGACAGAGAAAGGGAAAGGACTGAGGCAAGATAGTTAGAGAAAGGGAAAGGACAGAGGTAGGATAGACAGAGAAAAGGAAAGGATAGACAGGATAGACAGAAAAAAGGAAAAATCTGGGGCGTGAGGGTGATAGACAGAGAAGGAAAGGACTTCATTTGGTAGTTCAAACACAGGGCAACACGTTTGACCAAACGGTATGAGCGCTTTAATAGTGTAAGTGAAAGAAACAGATATCGCCACGACATTATAACTCTCCTCATTTAGTGCAGGAAAGAGGCAAGGTAGACAGAAAGAAAGAACAGAAAGAAAGTAAGAAAGTGAAGGAAAAAGACCTACTATACGGCGCCCTCCAACCGCCCGTCGATGTTGCGACACGCTGGTGGATCATAAAATGAAACAGAGACAAACTAGGAAATATAGGCCAAACGTATAAAAATAAAAGGCAGACATGATTCCAATTACCCGAACATGCGGGTTATACAATAAAATGAGCAAACACAGACAACGGCACAGGG